ACCCTAGTCCGAACTACCTAGTTCGAGCCCCGTGTAGCCGCGCTACACGGGGTTCGAAGCAGCGGGGATTTAAAAATGGCGGCTCCTCGCTTATGCTAATGAAGCCCGGGAAATTCAAATCCCGGGCTTCATTAGCAAGTGCGGTATGCGTACATTACCCCGCTAGTTCGAACTAGGAGGGTAGTGTAGACATACCCACAGTGAGGTAGGATAAAAAATATCACAAGCTGAGGAACTGAGGGGACACAGCTGTCTATGAGTCGAGATTGTACCCAGGATAACATCACACATCATCTCTGATTAGTCCAGCGATATCTGGAATTTCACAAAGGTATCACCTTCACCATAATTGCAAGCTTTAAGCAAACATTGTCTCAGTGGCAAAATATTACTTATTGTAGTTTCATTCCACTGTGGCAAGACATGTTATTGGTGATCAGTTTTCTTATGAGATTTGGAAGAAGTCTTGTCATCTCATAAATAATTAACCTTTCTGTGACCAGCTATGAATGCAAGTCAAAAAAAGATTGCTATTTAATCATTTATGGTCCAATACAAAGCTCAGTTCAGCTCATGGAAGTCCTTTCATTAACTTCAATGGACATTGAATCAGGCCCTTCATTTTATAGTGTTTGTGGAAAACTGCTCTGAGGTGGCAACACCATAGTTTACAAAATGGATTTTTTTTGTTCATTTTTGGAGATGACAAAGTTATTTAGGTGAATCAAAGTAACAGACTACTGGGAAAATTTTGAGGGAACTAATAAAGCTAGGGAAATACAGGGCTGCAAAGAGTTGAGTGGAAGGAATTATCTGATTTATTCATGTTTTCCTGCATTTTAAATTTGCTGGGACCATTCATAAAAAGATTGTGTTGTGGGTTGCTGAGTGGAAACCTCTTACCTAACTCATCAGAGGGAGAATGGAGCAAATCTCTCACAGAGAAGAAAAGCAGTGTCCTTCTGCATTTAGAAATTCTCCAAACACTGCTGTTGAACCCCAACTCAGCTCTGTAACTGGGTATGGATCTAGTCCAGAACTGATGCTTTAACTGGACAAGAACCCTAGTATGAAAATAAGTAACAAAATGCATTAATGGCACAATATCTGTCCCTCCCCGGTCCCAATCACCTTTGGGATACATCAGTAGCTGCTCTCCCTGTCAGCAGTCCCCCCACAAATGGCATATACCAGGTTTACACCTTGACAGCACTCCAGAAATATAGTCTGGGGACTGCAGTACTTCCCAGCAGTCTCTGAAACTATGAGTTGTTCCAGGAACTATAGGATGCTCCCTGATACACAAGTAGAGCAATATTTGGAGGCAGTGGTGTACAAGTATGTGGCACAAATATTCTGCTTTCCCTCTTATAAAATCCCCCCAAATATTTTTAACGTAGATGTGCTACATTCTGTCAGGGACCATCCCTGCACAATACTTGTACTACTGATTTCTGCAACAGGCCTCCATCCAATTGTCACTGAACTCAAAGGAAAGAATCCTTGTTATTTCTATATAATATATTTGAGAAATCAAAGGTGACATTTTTCAAAGGTAGTTGACTGGGGAAGCAGAAAAGGACTTTTGCAAATAAAAACAAACGGCCAATCCTGGGAAGGAAGATGTCTAGGATAGCTGTGATTCTGCTCTTGACTTTTTCCTTCTAGTTTATTGATCAATGGATTAGAGTTCTCTCTAAATTGTTTGTATATCTTATCAAGTTATCAAGTGGGGAGCTTATCAGGGAAACTGATTACTAGAATTACTGCTAAGTGGAGTATCTCTGTATTTCTTTTATTCTTATTTATTCTGTTTCCGTTAGGCAGTCAGTAAAATATCTGCCACAAAGATCTACACATTCTGTGGTCATTCACCATCATGCCATTGATAAAAAACAAGGTTTCATTAAAACAGTAGTGAATGGAAGTCAGTTTATGAAAGCCATTTGAGTTCCTTGTAAGAAGACATAGTGAGGATCTGCAAACTCACAGTAGTTCTGCAAGAGTTTTAAAAGATCTGGGTGAGGTGCTCACTAGACCATTAATGGATTAAAAGCTGGCTAAATTATAGGTCTCAACTGTAACTCAAAATGAGGAATTTTCTTTAAGCAGGTATTCTTCTAGTGATATCTCACAGGGTTTGGTCCTTAATCTTACACTATTTCACACTTATCAGTGGCCTGGAAAAAAAATCTAAAATATCCTACAAACTATCAGAGATGACACAAAAATTAGGGGACTGGTAAGTCACTGGTTACTTAGGGAGGGTATGTGTACACTGCAAAGTTAATTTGAAATAATAGACATTATTTTGAATTAACTTTAATAGCGTCTATACATGCAAACCGCTATTTCAAAATTAATTCAAAATAGCGGAGCACTTAATTCGAATTTGGTAAACCTCATTCTATGAGGAGTAACACCAAATTCAAAATAGCTATTTTGAATTAAGTGCTATGTAGACACTTAATTCAAACTAGGGGACCTCCAGCCCTTCCCAGGGAGCTCTGGTGGCCACTCTGGGCACAACCAGGAAAACTTACTCTCCTCTCCCCCAGCCCCGGAGCCATTAA